CCCTCAGCCTGATGCAGCTGCCCCAGCTCCTCACACAGCAGGATCCATTCCAGAGGAATGTGAATGTGGATTTCCACTTTTTCCCATCACTGCCACGGCAGCCTGCAGTTCCACCCAGAGCTGGCTCCCAGAGAAGCTGGGGCTGCCCCATCCCTGGATATGCCCAAGGCCAAGTTGGACAGGGCTTGGAGCCACCAGGGCTAGTGGGAGGTCTCTAAGGATTTCAACCCAAACCATTCTGGGATTCTGTGATAATCCCGTGGCAAATCTCAGTGTGCCACAGTCCTTCTGGGGTCCCAGCCCCTCGCTGCCTGCCTGCAATCTGCTCAGGATTTGGGAGTGCAGGAAGCCCTAGGATGTCTCAGCAGCTCCTCTGGAGAGCAGGAGCACAGCATTCCAGCACGAGCCTGTGTTATCCCTGCCCTGTGTTATCCCTGCGTTCTGTAAGGCCCATCAAAGCATGGCACGCTGTAATTACATGGCAAATTAGGGGCCACTTCATGGAACCACACTGTAATTACACACTTGGTGCGTGCTTTGGGGAGCTCAGGATGGAAACGTGAAAGGAACGGGGTTTGCTCCTGTTCCCTGGAAATCTCCCTCCCTGTACCAGGTTAAAAACCAGGGATGTGCTCTCTGGATGTGTCCCTGAAGGAGAGCACCGTGAGCTGCCCTCTTTCAGAGCTTTGGTGTGAAGCTGACACTAAAAAACTTGAAGCTGGTGGCAGCCAAGTGCAGCCAGTCCCCCCTCCCGGGCACCTCTCATTGCCGCATCCCGGCTGGATACCACAGTAATGGGCATTTTGGCAGCGCATACAGAGGTAATTGCTCTTCTTCAGCCGAGTTCTCACCTCCTCCACAGGCAATCAGCGCCGAAAACGCGAGAGCGGCCCCAAGCCCTGCACTGCTGAGCCTCAGCCCCGCTGCTGATCGCTGCAGCCCACACAGAGTATCCCCAGCGCTCACCTCGGCTGCACTGCAGAGCAAAGCGTTCCAAAAGATGCGGGTGCCATTCCCTGCATCCCTGGAAACACCAATTCCTGCTTTCCTTTCCCAGGCTCTGGCATCCCGGGTGTCCCTGGCAGGACAGGTGAGCTCTCCCAGCGCCACTGAGGCAGAGGGGGACAGAGAAGGTGCCGGAGCAAGGAGGGAAATGCTGGGGCTCGGAGGGAAATGCTGGGGCTCAGAGGGAAATGCTGGGGGCTCAGAGGGAAATGCTGGGGCTCTCTGCTGTGTTTTATCCTGCATGGAAACGAATCGTGGCCATGCAGGAGCCAGTGCCCGTCAGCAGCAGGGAAACTGAGTCACACAGCAGCTGACACAGCTGGAGGGCTCAGCCCTGCGAGGATAAGGCAAGATCAAACCTGTCTTTTTGAGAATAATGTTCCAAGTCCCTGGGCATTTTCACCCTGAGCAGCTCAGCAAACTGCCCCCGTTGGTCGGGCTGGTCCAGCTGTGACCCCGTTCTGTGCACACCTGGAGCCAGGGATGGCTGCAAACTTGTCCTCCCTAGACAAGGCAGAGGCCAGAATGAAGGATTCCCTCCTAAAACCCAAAGAAAAGGGATTTTCTCTGCCCCTTGCCCGCGGCCAGGCTCTGTGGAGGAGCTCTGAGTTTGCCAGGCTCGCTGTAAATGCAAACTCCCTTATTTGTCTGCGCTGAAAGTGAAAGCAAAGCCTGACCTGGCTGTGGGAAGGGGGACAAGCACGGTTCAGGCAGGTCCTGCATCCCCGAGCAGCACGGGAGCTGTGTAGGAGCTTCCCTGTACCCAGAGCCTTACAGAGCTTTGGGCTGGAAGGGAAAATCTTGCTTCAGCCCTAAGTGATGTTGTCCCAAATCCTAAACAGAGGGAAAAGCTGTTGCCAGATAAAAGCACACCCCTGGGATGCCACCCACGCACAGGCCAATGGAAACAACGTGTCCGTGTCCCAGCTGTCCTCGGGGTAGGCACGGGAAGGGCCAAAGAGCCCGGATTGCTGTGCTGTGTGTGCACAGAGCAAACCCTTTTCCAGGAACCAATCCCCCCCTCCTGCTCCCATAATCCCATAACACACCTCAGGGAAAGGAGGCAGGAGCAGGGCTGGATGCAGGATGGGCAGTTTGGCATCCCTGCCCCACTTGGGATGCCCAGCAAGGACAGCTGGGATTACAGCCCTGCTCTGGTACCTCGGGGAGGCAAAGCTGCAGCTTCCTGAGCAAGAAATGAGCACTGGGAGCCCCAGTGACAGCCCAGAGCTCCCAGAAGGGCTGGAGCTGCTGCCCACAGCCAGCAAATGCAGCTTGGCCGAGCTGCAGGAAACAAAGTGATTTGTGGAGGGCAGCCTGCATCAGCCCCCAGGTGAAGTTCCCTTGGGGTTGAATTTTGTGTGGTTTGGGGTTTTACTGTCTCAGAAAACGTCCCACCAAGCCTTTGGTGGATCAGCCATGTATGCACAACCACAAGTGATGCTACCACCCTTCCATCACATCCTGCTAAGAATATCCACACAGAATTGTGTCCTGAAGGAGAACTCACCCCATGGGGCTCTGGCTCTGACCTGCTCATCTCACTCACACATTCCTGCTGCTAATAGTGAGGGTGGAGAGGGAGGATTTGGCTTTGGAAGCTTTCTGGAGCTTTACAGCTCCACATCCCTTCCAGGTTATTTTTAAACCCTTTGGACACCACAAATCTCCCCGGAGTTTTGCAGGCAGAGGTGTGGGGTGGAGCAGGGTTTGGTTTGGGGGGTGAGAGGGGACAGAGTTTCACGGGACATCACCTGGCACATCAAACATCCTGCACAGCTGAAACCCTCAGGCTGCAGGGCCCTCCCTGCCCAGGGTTAACCCCACGGATCACATCAGCAAGGCTGCTGTGAGAAGGGACATGGGGCTGCAGTCCTTCTCAGCCCATTTTGGAATTAAGGACGATGGGAACATTTGGTGGTGGATTCAGGGCTGCAGGAGCCATCAGGGAGCAGATGAGCCCTCCAGGAGCAGAGAGAAGAGATGTTCCCTGCTCCCCTGGCCGGATCCCAGGAACACGACCCAGCAGCATCCACACTCCTTCCCTCGCCATCAATCCCACCAAACCAGAGAGCTGCAGCTTTTTTCTCTCGGAGTTGGAGGGGAAATGAGGTTAAGCCAGCTAATTGACAGCGCTGACCTTTGTGGCTCCCAGCAAGCGCAGCCACCAGCACAGGAGCGGCTGCAGCTGAGCCAATGGGAGGCAGAGCATTTCTACCTCTGGGTTTGTGTTTTTCAGAGCTCTTCAGAGCACTCGGAGTTTCAACTTTGGGTCAGCTCTAAGAGCAGTTTGCTGACATCAGCTGCAGAAGAGCTTTCGGGACAGAAGAAAACGAACTTAAGGCAAGGTGAAACTCCGAGTGCTCCCTTCAGGCACCAGGGAATTCCACTGCTCCCGACACCCAGAGCCTGTGTGAGAGCGCTCACCCACACCAGGAGAGCGCAAATTTTAACAGATACTTTACTCCGGAGTGAAAAGCAAATCTCACTCTACCCTGACTGCCCAGGTGTTTATTCCTATCCCGTTTTCCTCCCCTCCGAGCAAACAGGCTGAAAGGCAACAATGAGTCTTCACCAGAGTTTTAGGAAATAGGCACAAAGGGGTCCTCAGCTCCCCTCCAGCCTCTCATTTCAGCTGTGTAGGTGCACTCTTAGCATCCCTCGGGCATTTGGGAGCCTGGCGCTCCCCAGCCCACCCCGGGGCCAGGCTCAGCCCTGCTGCCCGGGCAGGGAGCGCTGGCACCTCTGCCCCGCACAGGGAGCTCCCTGCGGCCCGGCAGGGATCCCAAGGGGAACACTCCTGCACTGGAGCCCATGGACGGCTGAAGCCAAGGTGATGCTGCCTTTGGAGCTCTCTGCAGCCCCGCTGATGCTGCACCAGCATCTCTTGAAGTGGAAACACCAACCCCTGTGCGGCTCCAGCACTCAGCTGTCATTTCATTTCCACACGCAGCCCAAAATCCCAATGCCTGCGGGAGCTGTGGCTCCCTTCTGGCTTTCCTAGAAACTTTCTAACCGGCAGAGAAACGTACAACTCAATCTTTAATTTGATTTTCTTTGCCGCACCGGTGCTGCACAAAACCCAGCGAACTTCCAGTTTGGCGCAGTGGGAATTGCAGCAGGGAGAGATGAAGCAACAGGACTGGTTTAATGCAGAAAAAAGGGTTGTTTTTTGTTTTTCCTGCGGGTCCTCCAAGCTCCATCCTCCACCTCGCCTGGGCAGGGCAGAGAGGAGTTGGGCGCCCGGGGTCAGCGAGCAGCCAGACGCCAGCAGTGTGTGAACAGCAGCCCTTATTCTGGTCAGCCTCGGCTCGGAGCAGCAACCACAGCCAGCAGCAGCTGAACTCACCCCGCTTCAACACACAAAAAACCCTTCTCGCCTCCCTCCAGTAACGTGTTGCTCCCTGCACCCTCTCCCCACCCATTTCTCCAGCTCCAGAAGGGCGAAAAAAATATCAAAGCGGCGGGTTTTCCTGGATTAAACGTGCTAAATCCAGAGTATTTAGCACTGGAGTTGTGTTTCCCAAATACCACGAGTGCCTGGACCACACAAGGCATTTCCAGTCAGGGATGGGGGAACGCACATCCATCCCAGCTAGCGATGGGAATGGGCGGGAGCCCCGGGAGCGCATCTCTCCTGCCTGCCCGCCGGACGGGCTTCCCAAATCCCGGCAAGGATGCCAGGAGCCCGAGGGAAGGAGGCTGGAGGGGCGGCGGGATGGATTTTAAGAGAAGGAGGGGGATGGAAAGTCATAAAAGCGCTCGGAAAGTCAACTCGCCTTCGGCAGCGGGCACAGCCCGGGCGGCGCCGCTGCGCTGCGACTCGGGGCGCGCTCCGTGTTCCCTTCCAAAGGACAACCCCAAAAAACCCCACACCGACCTCCCTGCCCACCCCTCCCCAGCGCTCCGGCCTCTCCCCCCGCCAAAGCTCCCCCGCCGCCGGGGCCGGGGCCGGGGCTGCGCGGAGCGGGGCGCGGAGGGGACGCGGCGCTCACCGGGGGACGGGAAGAGCTCGATGTCCACCTTCTCCGTCTTGATGATGGTGAGATCCACGGCCGCCTTCATGGCTGGGGCAGCGCCGCGGGGGCGTCGCGCCGGGAGCGGGGGGCGGCGGCTGAGCCCCGCCGAGCGCGGAGCGGGGCGCCCGGGGCAGCGCGGCCGGCGCTGCCTCCCTCCTCCGCTGCTCTTCCTCCTTCTCCTCCTCCTGCTTCTTCTCCTCCTCCTCCTTCCTTCCTTCCTTCCTCCTTCCTTCCTCCCGCGCTCCTCGCTCCGCTCCCGCCTGCGCTGCGCTCTCCGCTCCGCTCCGCTTCGCCCGTCCCCGCCGCCGCCGCCCCGGCCGGGCTGAGCCGAGGGGAGGGCGCTGGGCCGGCCCCGAGCGGTGACAGCGGCCGAGGAACCGCCCCGCCCCGCCCCGGAGGCGGCACTGCCCGGCCCGGCGCTCCAGGGAGCGGAGCCGGCGCTGCCCGGCCGGGGGAACGGGGGAGCGGGGACAGCGCATCCATGGGGGAACGGGGGAAAGGGGACAGCGCATCCATGGGGGAACGGGGGAAAGGGGGCAGCGCATCCAGGGGGGAACGGGGGAGCGGGGACAGCGCATCCAGCGGGCAACGCGGGAAAGGGGGCAGCGCATCCAGCGGGGAACGCGGGAAAGGGGGCAGCGCATCCAGCGGGGAACGCGGGAAAGGGGGCAGCGCATCCAGGGCGGCTCCGCCCCGACCTCTGCTCGCACCCCGGCCCCCAAACACCACGGGATAAGAGTTTGAGCACGCTGGCTGCAGGCAGCTCTGGCTGGAGCCGCTGTCTGAAACCGATGGTTGTTGAAACCGAGCCAGTTGTGTTCACCCTGCCTGTCTCGACATGAACCGCTGCCTTTCACACTCACCCCTTCGGCTCCCATCGCCCCTTCATGCTCACATCATCTCCTCACATTTCCATCTCCCCTTCACACTCCCATCATCCTGCCTGGAGCAGCCTGGTCCTCTCCCACCCACAAGCATATCCAAAGTCAGGGGCACAGCCAGGGCAGAGCAGTGCACACTGTGCTGTGGAGGGTGACAGCCAGGGGGGCTGTTCCTGACCTGCTTGGCAGAGGTGGGAGGCCAAAGAGAGTTGGGAACTGACTGGATAAAAAGCATCTTGAAGGTGCAAGATGAGTGTCATGCCAGCACAGCATGCAGTTAACAGAGAATATCGGTTTTCACATGAAGTCTGTTTGATTGTGTTTAGGTAGCACAAACTTGAGACCACAAACGGCACAGCAGAAGGAGAGTATGACTCACAGATGTCAGCTTACCGGTACGGAGAAAAAAAGTCATTAGCAACCAACTCTTGTGGTTCTGTCACTCCGAAAGTCTTTAACAGCTTCCGACCCGGCACAGATCAGGCTGCTCTCATCAAAGATGGGCTCAAGTGAACACAGGCCTGCAGGAGCAGCTGCCCGGGGTCACAGTCACTGCCCAGCCCTTGGGATGGAGCAGAGTCCCGCTTGCAAACACCCCTGAAACCTCCCGAGGCCCCGAAAGATGAGCTGCAGATGCAAACGTTGCAGCTCCCATCATTTCGTTTCTGCAGCGGGGCCTTGCTCAGCCAGCACAGGAGTATTTATAGCAGGGACTTTGTGCAACTGAAAGAGCTGCGAGGCTGCCAGGGCCAGACAAGGAGAGGCGGCTCTGGCTGCACACACGGCTTTGCCAAGGCAGGCAGATCGAGCAGCAGGAGGCCTGAAAGCTGGCAAAGCCGGGCTGGGAGCTCCAGCCCCAAGTTCCTCTTCCTCACCCAGTGACAGCCTCTCACATTCCCAGTTTTTAAGGCAAAGTTGTTTCCAATTTACTGGCAAGCTCAGTTCTGGACAACCCATTCCTGCAGCAGTGAAGTGGGACCAGAGATTTGCTGTGATGAAAAACTTCCCTCCACTGATTCCCAAGGGCTCAGGAGAACCTGAGCTCAGGCAGAGCACAGGGCTGGAAACATCAGCTGGTGGTTTGAAACCTACCACAGGAATGAACCTGGAAATCCGAAGGTGGAAAGAGGATTGCTGCAAGGATAAAATGTGGTCCCTCCCCGGGACAGGATCATGTGCTTGCACCTGCCCTGGGTTTGGGTTTCTTTCTTCCCCATACAGCAACGATTGAAGGAAGAAACTACAGAGAGGCGATTTAGCAGAACGTTTCTAGTTGAAAATCAGAAGGGGATTCAGGAGAAACAGCTGCCTTTCTATCTGATCTGTGATCCCTCCAGAGCAGGCTTGGGCAGAGAAACCTGATGCAGTTATCAGAGCCCCCAGCCCTTCCCTTCGCTCCCCTTCCCTTCCTGCGCTCCCGGGCTGGGATCCGGGCAGGGAGGGGAGGGCAGGGGGCTGCCTGGGGGTGCAGCTGCCTGCCGGAGCCATCAGAAAGCACCTGCGGTCCTGTGCATGGAAATGACCCCGGCGGATCGCCCGCCCGCTCAGCGCGGCTGCAGCAAACCGCAAGCCCCGGAGCGAAACGGAGCAGGAGGCGCGCCGGGGTCACCGGGACCTGCCCAAACACGGCCCGGGACAGGCTGCTGGTGGCACACGGCACACGGCTGTCCCGGGCAGAGAGGCCCTGCAGGGAGCTGCCACAGACTGAGATGCAGCAAGAGGAGGCAGCGGGTGCCCTGAGGTGTCTCTGCTTTAGCTTGGCCCCTGGGGTAACGCTTTTGGCTCAGCCGCTCCTGCAGTGTTACAGTCTCGAGGACTGGCTGAACTCCAGGGCACCTGTACTGGAGATCCTTCTCTTCTGGACCAGGACAGAGGCTCTAATAAAGACCTTTCTCAGAGCTTGTGGGGTGTTTATTAGGAGAGATCCACACCCTCCTGGCATCCCGGCTGAGCCCTGATCCCACACTGATGGGATGACACTGAGCCCAGCTTGGTGCAGGATGGCTGCAGAGGAGCTCTGAGCTGTGTCTCACCCCCTTGTGCCTCCCCAAACCTGTGCTCCATTTTGCTGGTGCAATGCATGGCAACCCCTACATGCAGGGAAACTGGAAATGCTTCCAAAAGTAACACCAGGGCAAAAATCCCCGAAGGGGAGGAAAAGAAGAGAGTGGCTGCGGACAGAAGTTTCCTCCTGGGGCAGCTGAATGTCTCCTTCAAACTCCATCCCAGCAGCCGCCTTAATTTGTGTTCACTTCAGAGCTGCAACATGAAAGCCCTGGCTCTGAGCTCCAGCTGAGCCGCTCAATGGCTCAGTGTTCGCAGAAGGCATGGAAGGAATCCATTGATTAGTTTCTTCAGCTGGGATGTGACCACTCCGAGTCCAAGACCTGCCAAACATGACTTCTCCTCAGCAACTGGTTCCTATTTGCTGCTCACAGGCTTTAGGAAAATCTTTCCTCTTGCCCATCCAAGTCTCACCCTCGTTTTCCACTGTGTCGTTAGGAACGTGAATATCCATTCAGGCTCCGTCGGGGAGGGAGGGAGGGAGGATGCCGGGCTGGAGAACGGCCCCGCAGCCCAAGGATGGGCGATAACCATCTGCCCTCCCTCCGCAGCGCAGCCCCACTGTTTGCAGCCGCTTCGAACAAAGAGAGGATGGGCAGTAATGCCCCATTGTTCCCGGGGCCGCTGACTAACCTTGGGGTAACAGAACAAGAATAATGATTATTCATTTAGCTCTGAGAAAAGGTGTCAGGAGAGCGGAGCCTTTGCTGTGATTTCCGAACGCAAGGACGGCTCTTCCATGACCTCTCTCCTGGCTGGGATGGCTCTTTCACTTCTCCAGGGCCAAATTCATTCCTGTCCCAGCCCAGGGCAGCTGCTGGCTCTCCTTCAGAGAAAGCTGGGCCAGCTTCTCCTTTCCCTCGCATTTCCCCATTCTCATTGCAGCAGGAATTAGGTGTAACTTCTGGTCTGGAGAGGGAGCTTTTCCAAGCACTGCTGCTACCAAAGTATGGGGTGAAATACAAGGGCCACGTAATAACGTGGAGCATCCACCCAGCTGTAATGGCCAGGAAATGAAGAACACCATATCCAATTAAAACTGCAGGGGGATATTTATGGCAGAACGTAATTAGCCAAATTGGAGCCTTCCCCAAAACTGCCATGGGATTTTTAATGACCGCGAGCGGTCAGGGATTGGGTTTGATGTTTTGTCAAGTAAACAATACCCAGAGGGCATGAGACAAAAATCAGGAGCAAAGGGGAAAGGAAAAAAAAAAAAAAAACAAAACTGTCCTGCAATTCCAGGGAGAAACGGAGACATGAAAGGATTTATCGTAACGGGGACGTTGTTGGAAGGAGCAGCAGCCACCAGTCCAAGAAAGGAAAGAGCAGGGAGGTGGCCCTGGGTGTGGAGGTGGCCCCGTGCAATGAGAGGAAAGAGCAGGCAGCTGCCGCGGCCGTTCCCCCGGGAGATACCTTTCCTGGAATTTAAAATGATACGAGAATTTCTTTCAAGCGCCGTAATAGCTGGGAAGCATTGGAGTATTTTGGTAAGAGGAGGCTGGCTTAGCCCCGCTGACTCCATCCAGCTCCCGTTTTTGGCTCGGGCATGGAGCAGGGCTCGTTGGTGGAACGGACTGTGGGACCCGCTCCAGAGCCAGCTCAGGGGCCCGGGGGGGTGACCGGACCCCAGTGCGGCCCCGGGGGTCCCGAGGCACGGCCAGAGCCCCAGGCTGGGTGCTGGGGCAGGAGAGCAGGGCAGTGCTCCCGCTGGGGTGCCCAGCCTGGCCCATCAATGCCCCCTGTCAGCGCCTGTCCCCGGGCTGCGAGCCTCCGCGGCTCCTGCTCTCATTAACTCCCGCCGGGGAGGGCTCACAAAAGCCGCTTTGTGGCCAGCGGGGGTCAGGGCCCGGCACACAGAGCCCCGTGGCTGCCACAGCCCTGTCACACACCCGGGATAACGAGCGAGCCTCTCAGGCTGCCCCAGCATCTCCAATGCCCCCGTTCCTGCCTTCCCAGGGGTGCTGGTCCCGCACCGGAGGAGCTGCTCTGGGCTCTGGCAGTGCCATCCCCACGGGAATGCCCTGGCACGGCTGCTGGCACTCCCTCGTGTCCCTGCTGGGAGCAGGGCCTGGATGGAAAATCCTCCTAAGCTGCTCTG